TTGGATTTAAAAATCTTGTTCATTTATATGAGTTATACTCCATATGTAAGTATTTTTATTGTGATACATGTTTTTTTCATTAGGCAATCGAGTACGTAATATTTTACGAACGTAATATATTACCTTTATTTTTGAACTAAAATTAAACAGCTGAATCAGCAAAGGTTTTTTTTTCTTTATAACAATTTACTGATTATTTTAGATATTTTGCAATCCTAGATCCCTCTGTATTTGTATTGTAAGTCCTCCACTCTATTCTTATAGTGATAAGGCCGCCAAAATTTTATTATTTAATTATATTAGCTTAGTTCTTAAATATTTTGTGTTTCGTATAATAAAGAATATCTGTCTATCTAACATCCATGAACATATACACACTCACAAAAGGTGTGCAGATAAAGACAATGCTGACTCGTACATCAGACATATTAGATCATTGAAAATTGTCGTTTGTTTAAATGGGGTGTCAGGGGGTTAACTACATATTTCTAATGAAAAGTCAGAAAAGTACTTGATTTTGAAAGAAACATCGATGTTTCTAACCGATGCATCGTAATATATCGATGCACAATCGCGATGCATTATATCGATTTATTTACAAAGTGGACACCCCTAAAGGAATGAGGGAACGGATGAGTCACAACAAAACAGTCACACGTCACGTCGACAACGTCATTTAATGTCTGTCAGAGATGTACGTGGGCTATTATATATCGGTATAATATATCGGTTTTCTCTGTTAATTGATAGTCGAATTTGTAATGATATGAAAATATAATTTAACCTATATAATTCCGTTCAATTTAGTTAGAAAAAAATTAAAATTAAATGCAAAAAAAAAATATGAAGCATCCAATGCTAACAGCTGAATTTGTCAGTAACAGCTTTCGCAGTAGCATTTGTTATAGTAAAGCAGTACGGTAAAAAAATTAAAAGCTTTATCGTGTATTTCCATTTAAAATAACAATAATGTAATTGAGCAAACCCCTGTATATACCTACTAAGAAATTAAGGAAAATAATTCCTGTATTTTTCAAATTATTCCTGAATAAAAATACAGGAAGTATTTTTTATAACTAGACCACTACTGGCTTTCCCCATGGGTTGTCTCATGGACAAACTAAAACTAGATGAAGAGACCTGACCAGGCTGAGACTAGACCTCACCGTCTGGTGGCGTTGTAAGAATATCAACTACAGTCTACACTATCTCGTTCCGTGGGTGTCGTAAGAGATGACAGAGAGAAACTAAAAGAGGAAATGGGTAGCAGCTACTTTTTAATAATAACTCAAAACAAACATTTGCGCAGTACACAAGCGGTAGAAGTGAAACCTTCAAATGAAAAGAAATAAAATTTCACAGCAAATAATGTATTGATTCTGATAATTTTAAATACAATCCTTATTTTAGACGCCTAGAAGCTAAATTTTAAGTAAAAGTCAAAAGAATATTTTAAGTAAATTAAAAAAAGCCGTCTTTGCCAACCCGCGTGCTAAGCATGGCAACTATGACAATATCTTTCTGAAATTTTGCTAGATTTAACTTGATTCATACAAATATATTTCATCATCATCATTACAGCCCTTCACAAGTCCATTGCTGAACATAGGCCTCCCCCAAGGAATGCCACAAAGCACGGTCCTGAGCCACCTGCATCCATAGACTTCCTGCATAACTTACCAGGTCGTCACTCCATCTAGTGGGGGAACGCCCTACACTTCATCCGCTGGTACGAGGCCGCAACTCCAAAACCTTTTTCCCCATCGGTTGTCGGTTCTTCGAGCTATATGGCCGGCCCATTGCCACTTCAGCTTACAAATCCGTTGGGCTATGTCGGTCACTCTGGTTCTACTGTGGATATCCTAATTTCTAAGTTTATCACGCAGAGAAACTCCGAGCACAGCCCTCTCCATAGCTCGCTGAGCGACCTTGAGCTTCCTCATCCGGCCAGCAGTGAAGGACCACGTCTCAGTACCATAGGTAATCATTGGCAACACGCACTGGTTGTACAATCTTGTTTTCAAATTTTGAGGTATACCTGACGAGAAGATGTGCCGTAATTTCCCGAACGCTGCCCGACCGAGTTGAATCCGCCGATTGACCTCTCGGTCAAAGTTGGACTTACCTAGTCAAACTATTTGTCCCAGGTAAACATACTCGTCAACAACTTCTAGCTTAGTGCTCCCAACAACTACCAGCATAGGTGTGGATATATACATTGACATGGACATTAAACATGATCTTTGTTTTGTCCATGTTCATCTTAAGACCTATCTGTTGGGAAACACTATTGAGATCATTGAGCATAGTGCTTAGGTCCTCCAGCGATTCGGCCATAAGGACTATACCGTCGGCAAATCGAAGGTGAGTGATGTACTCGCCATTGATGTTGATACCGTATCCTTTCCAGTCCAGAAGCTTGAAAACGTATTCCAATGCAGCGGTGAAGAGTTTCGGGGATATCACGTCACCATGTCTTACACCTCTCTGCAGTTGGGTAGGTTTCGTACTCTGGTTCTGTACTCGGATAGCCATCGTAGCCCTACTGTACAAGCACTTAAGCACTTCGATATACCGACAGTCAACTTGGCATCGCTGAAGGGACTGCAGCACCGCCCAATTTTCGACGGAATTAAAGGCTTTCTCATAGTCCACATACGCCAGACATAGTGACAAATTGTACTCCGCGGACTTCTGTACAATTTGCCGAAGGGTATGTATGTGGTTTACCGTGCTAAAGCCTTTTCGGAAACCGGCTTGTTCGGGAGGCTGGAAGTCGTCAAGTCTGCGCGCAAGACGATTTGTAATGACTCTCGAAAACAGCACGTAGACGCGGCTCAGAAGGGAAATCGGTCTGTAGTTCTTCAAGAGAGCGTTGTCACATTTCTTGAAGAATGAGACCACCGCACTTCTGCTCCACGCCTCCGGTGTAGTGCCACCATGGAGGACGGAATTAAAGAGCTTCTGAAGGACTTCAAGTACTGGTTTTCCACCCGCTTTCAGAAGCTCCGTTGTAATTTCATCCTCGCCTGGGGCCTTGCCGTTTTTAAGGTGCTGGAGAGCCATTCTAATCTCGCTCAGATATCATCGGAATAGTGTCGGATAAGACTCGCTCTTGGATCCTTACTCACACTTACGTGTGGCTCCAACGATGATGTGTACAGCTGCCCATAGAACCTTTCAATCTCACTCAATAACTCAGGTGTGCCGGTAACGACGCTGCCACACTCGGTCTTCAGCTTCGACAGTTGGCTCTTTCTGGCAGACAGGTCTCTAGCAAAGACTTTGGAGCCCTGGTTCCACTCGATCGCTTCTTCAATACGAGCAGTACTAAAGTTGCGTAAGTTCAGTCGCATGCATTTGGAGATCTGTCTGTTCAGTTGCGTGTATGCTGTCAAATCTACTGAAGACTGCAGCTTTATGTCCCGTCTAACAGCCATGAGATTAAGAGTGTGATCAGAGAGTTTTCGTGTTCTTCTGCGGCGGGTCTTGCAAAACTTAGCTCCGACCGCATGGACAGTTTCTACGAGCTTGTCATTCATATCGTCCACTGCATTGCAATCTTCTAGGCACTGAAAACGGTTTTGTAGCTCGAGCTGAAAGGTTTCGGGGCTTTGGATTAGAGCACGAGGGGGACGGAGCGTTGATTTCATTAGACGAGACCTCTCCAACTTAACGTTGAGGTCCAATGTGCCGATCACCATTCGGTGATCGCTGCCGGTTTTCACCCTCGCGATTACTGAGACATCACTGAACAGTTGTCGTCTGGTCGTCATAATAAGTCAATCTCATTTTTTGTCGAACCGTCGGGGCTCGACCAGGTCCACTTCCTGTGGGGCCGCTTCTGGAAGAAAGATTTCATCATAAAGAGTCCCTCTTTCTCCATGAAGTCGGCCAGCTGCTGGCCCCTGGGGTTCCGTTGCCCTATTCCGAAATTCCCTACTTTCAGCTCACCGTTCTCTCTTGTGCCTAATTTTGCGTTGAAGTCTCCCATTAACACCGTATAGTGGGTTTGGGAGGAATGCATGGCTCTAGAGATATCCTCATACATTTCCTCCACCTCCTCATCGGGATGTGCCGAGGTTGGTGCGTAAACCTGTATAACCTTCAGCGAATACCGTTTGGTGATTCTGAGTATAAGGTACGCAACCCTCGTCGACACACTCCCAATCTTTACAACGTTGTTAACGAGAGATTTGTGGACGATAAATCCGACACCTCCTTGGGACAGATGGTCGCCCTCCCGGTGATAGAACAAATTGCCGGATTCAAGGATTACCGTGTCCTCCCCCTCTCTTCCGACTTCGGATAATCCTATCATATTCCAGCGCAACTTATCTATCTCTTCTTCCAGTCCCAGGATCTTATCGTCAGTCCTCAGGGTGCGTGCGTTATAAGTTGCCAGGTCGAGTCGTCGTAGGTGGCAACTGAACCTCCACCGGAGATTCTTAGCACGCCCTGCCCCGCCGTTACGATGGTCGCCACCGTAGCCAGGAATAGCGGGGCCGCCGGGGACTGGGTCTCTTAGCAACTTTATTCATTTGGGGGGTATATTGCCATAGTTGCCACGCTTGGCGAGCGGGTAGGCAACCGCAGTTTTTTATTGTTGTTTTGCTGTTATCAGAAAGATGCTGCTGCCCATCTTCTGTGTCAGGTTCCCTCTGTCGCCTTTTACGACACCCACGGGAAGATATGGGGTAGTGAGTATTCTTACCCGCCACTACACGGGGATACAAATATATTTAACATATTGGAAATATTATTAATTATGTGAATGTTATGAAAAAATAAACAGAATTTTGTGTTTTGCAATTTACTAATATAATATGTTTATAATTTCATAGACCAAATATTTTTTTATCTTCTTTATTCGTTTAAGACCGTACATAGAGGATTGACTAAAGGCGGCTATTGACTTGCCTGCCGCAGGGGCAATCTAGGGTGTAGGAGTGGGGATGACCCTTAATTGTGATGTGTGTAGGTAAGCAGGGGCAATTTTTAAGTCTGTCGTGCGGCAGGGCGGCAGGAGAACAAGACCTTCCTTGCTCCCTAGATCGGCCTTGCCCTGGGCAATTTCAATCAGTTCGGTGCGACTTTCGCGCGGAGCACACGTGTGAGTACAAGTCACAGTGGATAAAATAAAAAAATGTGAAATTTCGACACTGGTGATAGAAGTGTATAAAGAGCCGCTTCTTCACCCAATATTTCCTTTTTGTCTTTTTAGCGGTAGCACCGCAGAAAGAACGATATTTGAACGTTGTAACTTACAAGTAACATTACTGAGATTTGTTACCTAACTTACCATAAGGGCCAGTATGTTCCAATAGTATTAAAATTGTTACAATATAAGTAACGTGTCATTAACTAAATACATATACATAAACCAAAATACAAATTTTAGTAATTAAATTTATTAAAACTCATCATTAGAAAACTATCCTGGCTATTTGTAACACTAGTTAAATTATATTTACTAAGCAATAGTTAGTTAAGTTATATGACAGAATAAATTGGTTATATTAAATTATGACGAGTGAAGTTAGTCATATTTAATTGTCTTTGATAGTCTAAAAATAGCGTGGCAGAGCTATGCTGCAGCTTATAAGCGCTATATTTTGGTTTAATTATTTTTATTATGGTTGTAATTATTAATTAATTAGTTGTTTTATTGATAAATATGGGTGTCTATGGGCCACAGTGTCCACTTACCATCAGGTGGACTGTGCTCATTTGTCACCCTTATTCTATATAAAAAAGAGCCAACGCTATATATACCGATTTATTGATATTTCGATAAAACTGGTGCCATTCTCAAATGTGTGTAGAGACAGTTCAGATATTGCCCCGATCGCAGTACTCCATAGATTGCCCCTGCGGCCGGCATGTCAGTAGCCGCCATGAAGTTTTAGATAAAGATGGAGGCCACACTTGGAACAACAGCTTGAGTCAAATACCTACGTATCTTTATCTCACTCTCTGTGGTCTGACTTCTCTTTTTAGTGTGGAACACAATATTGCTATGTTTTTATTTGAATCTCCCGGTAAATTCTTAGAAATAATTTCCACACTAACTAAATCAGAAGTTAAGCTTTGTAAAATAATGTACCAACAAATAAATAGTTGATCTACGATTAGTTACATTAAAAATTTCAAAATTGAAGGTCTCGTATGCATTATTGGGTTCACGAATCAGTGAATTACAATCCCATTTCCTAAGGATTCGGTAATATGGCAACATTAGCCCTATATGTCAACATAAATTAGACAAATATGGCGGTTGTTTACTTAGCAGTTCACAGCGTCGTTTGAGATATTTAAAGTTAATTATTGTTATAATTTAAGAAATGGTGCAAACTTGTGTAGTACGTGGTTGCGACAGTAGTTGGTGTCCAGGAGGTGATATAAGATTTCACACGTAAGTGTTTAAATAGTGACTGACATTGAATACTTGTAAACATACTTTTTGTATTTTCACTTAATTTTTTGCTGAAACGTTTTATCAGTCTTTTAAACATATTAGTAAATTATAACTTTGTCAAAATCAAATAGTTTTACATTAAATTTAATTAAGTTTGAACAATTTTATTGTTTTTGTTTAAATGAAATCGCACTGAAGTAGTGTGACCATATTGATGATGTATCTGAGACTTTCCGTGTGATCTTAACTAATTATATGTACATGTTTCTTATTATGTTACCGGAAATGCATGAAATTTAGAAATTATGTACACTTCCTATATATTCTATATAATGACGTATTTCATAGATTTCATAATATTAAATTAAAAATGAGTAACAATATATTCTTTTGGTAGACAATTTATTTTTATTTAGTTTTTGTTTCTCATTATTCTGATACTTTAATAACGTTTATAATAATTATGTATTTAGAAATGTAGTAGTTTAGATGTATGATATAAAGCAACATTTTTTAAAATATGTTATTATTTGCAGACAATAAGTGCATTACATGAAGAGTCTATTGTGCAAATAGCTGCTCTGGCTGTACCAAGCACTAGTTCTGGCATTTATGAAAGTAGTTCTGCACTTAAGGAAACAGAAGTGAAATGTACTGGCTGTAATATTGAAGACCAAACTAGTAAAAAACAATGTCGAAAAATTCTTGAAAATTTGTGCAATCTTAACAAATTACCTGTAAGTGTCCTTTTCCTTTATTACTAAATACATACCTTTTATTTGTATTTATTATGACTTTCATATTACATTACATAATGTATTATATAGCTTAAAACACATACATATTTAAACTCTTTAGTGCCAATCGCAGTGTGGTAATAGTTACTACGACACTAAGCATAAAGCTTCTTGTTTGATGCTTCATTTATGCGTGCTCATGAAGGCGCGCTCCGGTGTATTATATGTTACCTATTAAGTGATGTAAATTTGTACTGACATTATGATGTAGAAGAGTTATTTGTTTCTTTTTTTTGTTAGAGTTCTCTAATCTCTGGTTTGATTTGAAAATAATTTTTTGCATTTTTAACACCAATTCTTCAGGAAGTCTATCTAACATCACGCTACGACCCTTATGAGTGGAGCAATACGATGTACGATGCTAAAAATACTGATTTCATAAAGTTTTCTTGTTTTCTTAGGTCAGCAGTGAATACGACGATCCTACGAAGATTGATAGGGGCGTGCAAGTGAAAATAAAGTGTACTAAAGAAGAAATACTTGAGACGAAAACTAAGATTCTTAAGCAAAAAGTGGCGCGCCAAACTAAAAAATTCAGGATAGGTCTTCTTTAATGGACACTATTAAAAAGTATATGGGTCAGTCAGAAATTGAAAATATTATTCAAGGGCGCTTTGCTCATATCTGTAAGGACTTCAAAAATCCACATGGTGTGAAAAATTCAATAAATAATTTTAATATGGAAAGTGTTTTTATTTTTTTTTTTAAGGTTTTTAACAAACCATGTAGTGGTGGTGTGAGAATATCCACTACCCCATATCGTTCCGAGGGTGTTGTAAGAGGTGTCAGTGGGAAAATGAAACAGGAGATGGGCAGTGGCATCTTCCTGATAACAACTCAAAATAATAATATATTATCGTTCCTATTATAGTACATATGTTACTAGAAATCTATGAAATCCGTTATTATATAGAATTCCTAGGAATTGTAGATAATTCTTAAAATGAACTGGATGTGTGGAATATAGTATTATACACATTTCAGCTCAGAGCAGCCTGACTCGGATGGGTTAGGTCAGAAGGCTAAGGCAGGAGCTCCGCTACGCTGGTTTAGTCTTCGTGATATTTTTTTTTAAATAATTGTCCAGAAATAGATTTAGTCTGTCTGAACAATAAATCAGGTATATTTTGCCCAATTCATTGATCACCCGGGGTTATAATAAATTTTAATTTTATATTTCGTTGGTACCGTTTAGGAATTGTATACAATAACCAGAAAATACATTATCGAAATGGTAGTTATAAAATATTCTCTGATATATTTATTTTCCACATTTTCTAAATAGGCTCGGCATTATACGGGTTGTGACGGAAATGCGTGGTCATATTTTAATACCGGTTCTGCCCATGGAAATGAAAACCTTTCTTCATAAAACTAGTCAATTCCCAAAAAAAATTGTACAAAAATATATAATCTATGTAGGCTAGGACTTAGTAGTAAACAGAGATATAGATATTTATAAATAAAACACTTAATGTAACTCAACTACTTATAGCGATATCCTGGGAAAAATAAAATAAAGGTTACCTACTTAGAAAGGGAAAGCCTGCCCACAGAGAGCGAGATAGTAATACATAGGTTTAACTTCAAGTAGGTATTCGGAGTGTGGTCTCCATCTTTATCTATAACTTCATGGTAGCCGCCTTAAGTCTACGTTAATGACCAATCACAGACTAATATGATGCTTACGTGACCAATGTTCACTATTGCTATTCATGGCAGGCAAAGGTTTTAGACTATACAGCCTAGTCTGATGATTATGTTATTCACAAAACTCTTTACAATATGCTGATGCATTACATTGTGAAGTTCTTGGAAGATTTCGACGACACCTTAACACTTTCACTGTCCGGTTTCCAGACACAATAGTAAGACAATAGCAGTGCCCTATATGTAGTGCACGGGACAGCAAATGTGTTGCTCTCTCTCAGCCGACAGTTAATGACAATAATATCTCAAGACCTCAAAGCGGATAAAAAAAGAACATGAGATTTATATCACCGCCGCAACACTTGTTATGTCATTTTCATTTAAAGTTCGCATGCGTTCACATACATTTTCTACACTAAGTCGCACCATTTTTAAGAATTAAAGTTCACTTTACCATTTTCAAACCATAAAACAGAAGCAACAATCCACCGAGTCAAGTTCTCCCCAAAATTCTGTTAAATATTGCTTCTTTGATACCTGTATATTTTTATGTAATATAGTTTGACCATCGAAAGCTGTCCAAGAATAAAAAGGCGGGAATTAAAAAAAAATCAAGAGTTGTCAACCCTGACTGCTTAAACGGATTTGATACTATTTATTATTCAAGACATATTATGCGATATTTACACCAGTATTTCATATTTATATACTACGACCATAATAACCTTATTACCCCTTGTATATGGCGTTTTTTAACTTCTCGTGCATTGAAGTTCACAGCTCAAATTTCCTGGTATGGCATTATATCGAAAAGATTGAATTAAAGAAAAAGTTATTACTAAAAGTTTATTTAATAGAATAGAGCACTGATGTGATGACACAATAAAATCAACATAAAACAGGGATAAGGAGTTATCGTAGAAATCGGATTCCAAAAACTCTACACCTGATAATATTGAATCAGCTTTATTGTTTTCTTCGCTGCTACTGCTACTGTATTATTAATTTATTTCTTTTTATTTAGTTATTTAATTACAACGGTTTTTAATACAATTACAGTAATTAATAATTGAGAATAAATTATGCTAAGAAAAGAAATACAAATTATATATCGTTAATTTCTATATACTCTAATGAGCAACCAAAAAAAAAGTTTAACAGAGGATTAACATTTTTAGTTTCTTCCGATATAATATGTACTTTTTTGTATGTAATTTTTAAAATAGCAATCTGAAACAACGTGAAAGAAAGAAACAGCGATATCTTTTTCTCGCTTTAATTTTATAGGCCCATTCCAAGATAGATAAAATTATGGTTGTGTGCAAGTTTCTCGGATTTCATACAGAGTTGCATCATCCTGTTGTGGTACCTAAGTCTTTATCATAGACATTATACCATATACATTTTGAATTTAGTGACAGTTGTTTACAGGGATTAATACATACTTATATTAACTCGAATTTTATTTGTTTCAGATTACGTTGTTTTGTAGATTTTAGCTTTTACGATGACAATTTTGCTGATGTAAATTTATGTTATTTTTCTGTGAAGAATAACTATATCTTTCTTTAGGAGTTTCCGCAAACAACTGTGCTTTTTGTATAGGTTTTATACTTTTTAGGTATTAAAAGTTAATATATTTAATAATTTAAGTTCTAATCTTTGTAAACATATAGGAGAAATGGTACTTCAGACTTCATGTTTTTTTAATAAACTTTCTAATGGTTTATGATTATTAACTACTATTTTATTATGTTCATAAATATTATAAAAATGGGTTCTCGTGTTTTCCATACAATACTAAATAATTCTTATTCATTGGTGATTATTTTTCTGCTGGAGATAAACTTCTAGAATCAAAAGCAACTGGTTTTCCATTTTGTAACTAACAAAGTCCTAAGCCATCTTTAGGGGCATGTAAACTGCAAAATTGTAGAATAATAGGTAGTTTTGCATCATAATTACGTAAAGCGGCTGCTGAACAGATTTCGTTCTTAACTTTGTTATATGCATTTTCATTTTCATTGGTCCAAAGCGATTCTGGCAAAGGTCATGCACATTCGAATATTTGTAATTCGTTTTTAATATTAAGATATTTGATATTAATAATTGCATTTACTCTCTTGGGGTACTCTTTAGAATCTATTGAAATTTGTTTTTATTAAAACGAACATTATGTATGCTCTCTAGTCTTTCAAAACCCTCCTTTAATGATGTATCATGCTCTTGTTCCGTTTCTTCACAAATTAATAAATAATCGCGGTAAACTAAAACGCCTGGAATATCGCCGAAAGCACTTTCACTGTAATGTCGAAATATTTCTGGTGCTATCGATAAGCTAAACGGCATTCTCAGGAATTTATAACGGCCAAAGGGAATATTGAAAGTGCACAAATGATTTCAATTTTTGGCTTAGATGCTTGTCATTTAACCCATGTCTTCATTTATCTCAGTGTCAAGTGATAATAATCCTTTATAGGACATTGCTTCACAAAATGTTGATGCGTCATATTTCGTAGTTTTTGGGAGATTTTGTTGGCAACATGAGCCAGCAGATAGTTGGCGATCTTGAGATTCACATCACCATCGGCGCACTTGTTTGAAAGTTTTCCCAAAATATTCCACATGCGTAGACATTTAATACAGAAAATCTTTTACATATCAAAATACACTTCAAACCATTATTTAAACAATAATACAGGAGCAGCAATCCGCCACCGGTATAGTTCCTGCCGAAACTCTCAATCTTTCGATAATTTAATGTCCATCTGACATATCAAGAATTGTGATCTTTTAAAAAATTTATAATATAAGAACCAGCAAGAAACCTAGCGGTACTTTTTTCCACAGTAACACTATACCATGTAAAATAGGTAGTAACCTAACTAAAATTATTTATAAAACTCATTTAAGCTGTGTCAGCTTGGAAGCGATCACCTCATTCCCAGGGGTTATCATCAACCATATAATCATTATTATTATTATATTAACCCTATTTATAAAGCATGTGTTTAATAAAGACACAAACATATATTGGTAGACAGCCATAAAAAGGCTTTCTGGTATTTATTAACAAAAGTATGCAATATTTTTAATCATCATCATCATTGTTATCGTCATTGTAATGATAGGCTTAATATAGGTCTCTCACATAGATGACCTCTATCATTAATGGAATTGTTTGCCATAGTAGTCAGATGGGTTGACAACCAATAAGCCTAGGTTTACTTATTCCATGCTTTTTGGTTAAAGTCCGAATATTTTATACATTGTATACACACATAGCACAATATTTCTACACGTCCCGGGTTGACTGGGAGAGAATGCCAAAAGTGTTGTAAAATAAAGTTTAAATAAATATACAACATGTAACAAAAACCCTGTGGTTCCAGTTAAGTGCGTTATCAGAGTCAGTATATTTAAACGTGGTAGAGCCATGCTGTAACTATGTTAATAGTATAGTTGTAACACGAATGGGTCGGCTCGGCCGGGCAAGGACCACGCTCTCACAGAATACCAGCGTAAAATAGCAGCATAATGCTGCTGTGTTTCATATGGTGAGTGTAGTCTTAGTCCTCACGTCTGACAACGCATCTGGCATTTTAATTCGCAATCGAAGATAGATGTAGATGTCTATGGGCCACAACAACCACTCACCATCAGGTGGACTGTGTGCTCGTTTGTCACCCAAATTCTATGTAAAAAAAAGTTTTCCGTTAAAAACGATATCAGAGTCAGTATTCAAACGTAAAGAAATAACTTTTTTCAAAAAACTTGAACATTAAAAAAAACATTTTAATTTAAAAATTAATTTTCAATTTTATGTGTGGTTTTATCCGGTGAATAAGAGGATTGTGAAAGACCCACCTTCACCGAAGCTCGTGTCAGTTAGAGGTAATAAAACCACATAAAATTTACAAATGAATTTTTTTTAATTAAAATTATATTATTTAATGTTTAAGTTTTTTGAAAAAAAATTATTTCTTTGCGTTTGAATACTGACTCTGATATCGTTCTTAACGGGAACCATAGGGTTTTAGTTACACGTTGTATATCGGCTAGTGAACCTAGGTTTACCCGGCTTTATGGTTAAGTTCTAAAAATAATTTATAAATGAAATAAACTGGGGCTTATTCTAATGTCTCTACACTCACCATATGAAAAACAGCAGCGTTAAGCTGCTATTTTACACTGGTTTTCTGTGAGAGCGTGGTCCTTCCCCGGTCGAGCCGACCCATTCGTGCTACAACCATAATATAGGTGCAGCATGGCTCTACCACGTAGAAAAACCTCTAAAAAATAACTATAGTTGAAATTACAACGAAATTACTTAATCTATATGCTTGGGAATCACTCAAATACTTTCATAACATTAATATTCGTAACTTAAATCAATAATTTTTTTTAACTATTTTCAGATTTCTAAGCGGTCTTATTGGTCGCGATCGCTACGCAATTTTAGGCCGTATACAGAAAGAAAGCTGGTAGGCTGCGCCGATCTACCAGCGCTTATCGACGCTGGTCTATTCTGGTAACAGTTACATAAAGCAAGCCGTTTGAAGCAGAGCGAGCAAAATGTCGTACTTGTCGGACGATGAATTAGTTTTGTTAGAAAATGTGTATTTTAAAATGCCAATATAAGCTATACATCCTATTATTAGAGAAAGGAAGCGTTTCGAAAAATACCATCATTATTTGTAAAACAATTGAAACTTGATGATTTGATGAATTTAAAATGTTTTAACGTAGTTTAAATATACACTTTTCCAGTCAATAGCAGATCAAGCGTAACACTTTGAGATTTGTACCGACATTATTATTTTGTAACTAGCTATTCCCCGCGACTTTGCCCGCGTGTAATTTAGGGTTTTAATTTTTTAGCGACGAACCCTAATTATTTTTCTAAAATAAAGGTAGCCTAAGTTACTCCTTATGACATCGGCTATCTGCCAGTGAAAGTCCGGTCAAAATCGGTCCAGCCGTTTCGGAGTTTAGCCGGAACAAACAGACAGACAGACAGACAGGCGGACAGACAGACAAAAAATTTAAAAAGTGTATTTTTGTTATAAGTACTGTTTATACTTTCATATGCATTTAGTAAAACGTTGTAATTTTGATATTACAAACAGAGACTAAAATTTTATTTATTTGTATAGATAAGAGCGATTTTAAAAAGTATCTAAGTGTTACCCTTGATATGCCGTCTTTCGTACAATCAACACGTCACTATTCATTTCTCTATTTAACAAAAATATATGCGTGTCGTAGTTGTACGTGTATGTCGTATAGTTGTTCATTAATTTTAAATGGCGGGCGGCGCCAGCGCTGACCGGCGTTTTGTCTGTCTGTCCGTCTGTCTGTCTGTCCGTTTGTTTCGGCTAAACTCCGAAACGGCTGGAGCGATTTTGACGGGACTTTCACTGGCAGATAGCTGATGTCATAAGGAGTAACTTAGGCTACTTTTATTTTAGAAAAATAATTAGGGTTCCTCGCTTAAAAATTAAAACCTTAAATTAAACGCGGACAAAGTCGCGGCGAACAGCTACTTACAAAATAATAATGTCGGTACAAATCTCAGTGTTACGCTTGATCTGCTGTTGACTGGACAAGTGTATATTTAAACCCATTGAGATATATCAATGTTTAAACCACGTTTAAACGTTTTAAATTATTATTTATTACAGAGCTTTACAGTTCTAAGGCGAATATTTGTAAAAATTGACTAATGGACAAATAAACATCTTTTCTTAAACATTTTTTTTTATTATAATGTTTTTATAAATCTATTAACTTTATCTTTTAATAACTAAGCGATAAATATATTTTTTCGTACTTACCGAACGGTGACAACAAGTCTTTCTTTTGTAAAAAAAGAAAAATCGAAATCGGTTTACCCAGAAAAAAGTTGTGAGGTAACGTATAAGGTAAAGTACAAGGTACACACATAAAAAAAGAGAACATACAGTCGAATTCAGTACCTCCTCCTTTTTGAAACTAGTTATTAATGAAATTCTGAACTATCAAAACATCATCATATTAACACATCATATTTTTTAATTTATTTCGTCAAATAATTACTAACTATGTTTTCTTACCGGGGACCCATATATATCGTGTACCGTCCTACGAATAACATCTATGTTGTGAAATCGCAAAGTTAAAATTAACGTTTTGGTTGTTTGTTTATGCCAATTACACCAATTTTCAACAAATGTTTTTTCGCTAAGTCCGAAATGTAATAAAATGTTTCTTGAGTCATTCTTGTATATCTATAGCGGACAGATGGGATTCACCAATATTAGGGCGTTGGATAAATCTGCATAGGTACTGTAAATTAGACACGCCACGACCTAGAGTAGTATTTTAATTTTAATTTTATTTAATGTTTATATTTATTAATTTTAATTTTCTTTAATGTTATAGGTATTTATATTATAACAAATATGGATAATTGGTCTGAAATAAATGAATTATTATTATTATAGAATTTTTGATCTACAAATTTCAATTGTTTTACAAATAAGCGATGGTATTCTTCGAAACGATTCCTTTCTCTATTAATATGATGTATAGCTTATTTTGGCATTTTAAAATACACATTTTCTAACAAAACTAATTCATCATCCGACGAGTACGAAATTTTGCTCGCTCGGCTTCAATCGGCTTGCTTTATGTAACTGTTACCAGAAAAGACCAGCGCCGATAAGCGCTGGTAGATCGGCGCCGGCTACCAGCTTCCTTTCTTTATACGGTCATAAGCTGCCAGCTTTCTTTCTGTATATGGCCTTAGATCTTATGTCGGCGTTTTTTAAGTTTTTATAGAAATCATTTACTAACTCGAATCAGTCCGGCGATAGCCCGCTTAAATGGTTTTCGATGTGTCGTCTTAAACCTAGAAGTACCCTCACTTTGGCTATTAGCCATAACATGAATAATAAATACTTACGAAATTTCTTTTAGCTAAGAGTTGTAATAAGCAGGACTTAAAAAAGAAGAATTTTTATTCACATTATCAAACTTAACATTAATTACATAAAATTCGTAACCCTTCCTTAACGCTTACGGTTATATCCACGGGAGGTTCATTACTAGCTATTACCCAGGTTGAGCCGTTTTCGGCTTTCTTTATTACATCTATTATACCATTTACAGCTGATTCTACCCTGAAAATAATAAAATGTAAAATTAGGTTAAATTTAAATAAAATAAATTATGTAATGTTACCTTAGTTATGTTTATTGATAGAAATAACTCAGTTAATTATTTTGCGGTTAATTTCAATTTAAGAGGCCATAATTAAACACGAAATAGAAAATGAAATTATGGCTTATAGCAAAGTAAAATTACACTTATATACGTTCCAGTGGTGGTAATTCTGCCATTATCTATTATTGTGCTAATGCCGGAGAAAAACTTAAAAAACTCCGGACATTTGAGTCAAATCAAGTTTCTTCCCGGACACCATTGTAAAATGTTATATTTTATTCGTATAAGTAGCTTGTTGCTATTTTATAAGAAATCAACATGAACTGCAGTTAAACAATTCAATATATAAATAATTAGTTAATGAAATAATAAATTATACAATATTTGTTTCTGACGTAATTTAATAAGAAAAATAATTAAGAAAGCTTTTCCTTTTCGTATCAAATTGGAAATAAATTAGATATTATTTAGGTAGGCGAAGTAAGTTTTAAAAAATATTAGCTCTACTAGAAGTCATTAATAACGATGATATCAACTAGAATTAAACCTAGGTAGCCTAAATATTTATTTTAATTTAAATGTATGTAAAAAAATTTAGCAAGGCTAAGTTTATTTTTAATTATTTAAAAATAAGAGTGTCGTTTTGGTATTTGGTACTCTTTCCAATTTTTACTAATATGACATTCTTTTTAAAATTACTTAATTTAATTCATCAAGTGTCCCTCGAACTCAAAAATCCCCCCGATCGACCGTCATACTAGGACAAATCCGGGTAATGACAGCTCTACTTGCTAGGCATAACCTCTTCCCATTTTTAGAGGCTTATGAATCAATGCATATTGTCGGACTTCCCGTGTCTTCAAAATATTTAATATCATTAGGCATTCTTTAGTATATTCTTAAGTTTCCATACGATACATTTCTTTATCGACGAGCAAGTCATTCAGCACGTAAAAATGTAATCATTAATTTAAATACCTTTGTCTTTCTGCATCTCGTGAAACTATGCATTGTGTAGAACCGTTATCAAACTGTTCTGAAATTTGTTTATATAGAAGAGCAGTATCAGTCGGTCCAAGACAGACAGTCATCATGCGAACTTGCGATCTTGTATATAAATCATTCGTCTAAAAAAATTAAATGTTAATTAGAGAAAAATAAATAAAAGAAATGCCGTCTTATAGCAACGTAAATGATTCTATCACCGCACTCACCCCACATAAATGGTAATAGTGGACTTTGGATAAAGCTTGAAAGATCCCACGGCTTCCAACAGACGGTAGTACAACCATCTCGTTTACGTAAGACATAAAATAGCCAGACCAGCGACGGGAAATAAGTTCAAAGGTACTGCCAAAATCCATAGACCTGCCAAGCAATCTTTCCAACGATGGGAGAGACCCCAACGACCAGCGATGGATTTTTAGGGTTTAGTGGAAAATAATAAGGATAGAAACTAAGCTAATCAAGAATATGAATACCTTTTATTCAATGTTTTATGTCTTTTTGTCTCTAGTCTTTAAGAAATCTTCTTTAATGCTGTGTCATGCTCTTGTTCCGTCTATCCACATATTAATAAATCATTGCGTTACACTAAAACGTCTGGAATATCTCCGAAGGCACTTTCACTACTTCCCATTATAAATTGGGTAGATTTATTGTAATTGCCATGACTAAGGCTGCTTTTGCATTAGAACTATGCACGATATCTAAGTGATTTGAAACAAAATTTAGTTTAAAAAACTGTTTTATTACCCTTTACCAATGGAGCTAGGGTGAGCCCGGTTACGAAAATAAAGGACAAAGACCTAGAATATGTGTTAAACGCTATGGGGTTTAACACATATTCTAGGCCTATTACACTATGCAGTATATAAGACAGTCTTATTTAGACTGTCTTATATACAGTATATAGTATATAGTACCCTTAACCGACGAGCGTGTATGCGTAGATATATGGATGTAAAAGAGCCGAGAGAGGTGTGTCAGGATCGCGCCAAATGGAAGTCCGTAGTCTCTGCCTACCCCTCTGGGTGACAGGCGTGAGTGTTTATGTATGTATGTATTATGTATTATTTAGACTGTCTTAAAGTCTAATTAGACAAGCTCGCTATTACACCGCCCTGAATACCGCATGCTAAATCATTTGCAAGGCCTACATAGCCGGTGACGGTTGTCGCGGTGTCATGGGAAGACTTTCGAAGCACCAGAAAATCGCCATAGCTCTTGCCGCGTCTATTACTTGGAGTACAAAAAAAAAAGAAAAATATGGGTGAAGGAGTATTTACTTTTACGGGAAAAATTATCAAATATGCAAATCCTGAGTGTTTCGGAACCATTTGACTTAATATCTGTTGAAATTAGTTACTCCATATATTCAAAAGGAAGATACGCTTCTTAGAAAAAGTGTCAGTGCAAAACAAAGATTTTATAAATTTCTAACAACACCCGGAATCCTTCTGCACGAAGTGATTGGTTTAAATAGTCTTTGTGATTTTTCCGCCATAAATATGGCATGTCACGGTACACATCAATAACATTAAAAATAACTTCCTTTTCTTTTGAGCACGCCATTGTGGACGTCACAGCAAACAAACACGTGACTTCACTCCGCTGGGGTCGCGCGCTGACCACAGAACACTATTACTCCTACGGAGGCGCTGACTAAACGGTCTAAGCGTACACCACGCGATATTCAGCAAGAAAGCAAGCAAGCACGGCCAAACCCACTCGGTCCGTCTAATTAGACAGACTAACTTGCTTACTCTTATTACACTACGCTAAATTGCGCTAGATCTTAGTAAGACTGTCTTAATACTGCATAGTGTAATAGGCCTTATATTCTCACTACTCATGCTTGCGTATCTTTTGTGGAAAGCATTGAGTGCAATTTCTCTGAATTAATTTTTGTGACACCTATAGTTAACAGATAACAAATATTTATTAACGTAACATATTTACAACAAATTTGACAACACGATGACAACTTCTTTAACGCAAGTTATTGCAATATCTTGCAGTCTTTTCTTTAATCAGACCAGCCGGTGATGGATTATACAGTTACTTCTTCTAATTCATTAATCTTTTCAACAAAAATAAATAAAAATAATTACTTACAGCAATATTATTCGTAAATTGAAGTACTGCTGCTTTTGTGGCAGAATATACAGGCAAATGCATGTATGGCTGAAGAGCCAACATTGATGAAACGTTAATTATGACGCCTCCAGAACCGCCTTTATCAATTCCCATTGAAGCTAACGCCAACATTGTGCCGGATATAACTGCTGTCTAAAATGAGTGAAATGAAATTATTCACGCTGTGGTTTACTATTACAACACGAATGGGTCGGCTTGACCGCGTAATGAAGGGCAACGTTTTCATAGAATCTATCTATATATACATACAATAAATCTGTAGAAAAGTCGTGTCTGTAATTCTAATATATTCTTGAAAAAACAAGTCCAGGGGACTAAATAAAGGGTTCTGAAGCCAAATTAGTGGTTTTTAGAATTTTTGTCTGTCTGTCTGTCTGTCTTTCTGTCTGTCTGTCTGTCTGTCTGTCTGTCTGTGTATTCCGGATTCACGCAAAAACTACTGAACCGATTTACATGAAATTTTGTATGTAGGTAGTCAGTAACCCGGGGCAACTTATAGGCTACTTTTTATCCTTTAGATGTTAATTTCCTGTTGTATCTTAGTTATAGGCGGAATGACGGGTGTTTTTCAAATAAATACCATATTACCATATTTGTAAATAAAGTTTAAAATATAGTTATAATCTTGGTAAAATAATTTGAAACTACACCGATTTCGTATTCAAAACAGTGCCATCTATCATCAAATGGAAAAAGTTGTATATTTTGCCTTCAATTACTAATAAATGAAACAATATAAATAACTTACATTTATATGATTAAATTATTAGATTTTTAAAATTATTAAAAAATTGTAACGTTAAGTTTTTTAGTATTTTTGTTATTTTATTTTAAAAGTGTAATAATTTCAATAGATAATAGTGACGTCTATAAAAAATATGAAAATTGATAAGGTATTTATTTCAATTACTAATATATATGTAAAGTGATAAAAATTGGTCTGTCTGCAATTGATGCAAAATTTTCATTGTCATCATAGTTTTATTAAAGGGATTTTTATGTATGTCGTGGCCAAATCGTAGAATTGATCATATATCATAAAGTAGTCTATCATTTCGTGAAAACACTAAACAATGACTGAAATGAATGTGTATTTTATAACACTTTTTAGGGCGTTACTCACCGGCTACGGTTATCGGAGAGTCAAGGGACTCGAGGATCAAAATAAAAGTATCCCAGGGCGCCTGTTGTTGGATGATTAGTAAATGAAAATTCATAGATACACATACAGACCAAAAGTAGTTTATTTCCTTCTAAAGTTCACATATATAGCTCCAAATATCAAGTTTTCACTTTAAAATACCCTACGAACTGAGGTTTTGACTAACCTGGTGGATTACACAATATTACACTGTTTATGGTCAATCCCGCGAAGCAGTGAGGCAACAGATATCCTCCAGGTGTACGCCGGTCGCGGTCTCCTGGCCGCCCAGTCCCAATATAGCCACCCGTTGAAGCTGCCTCGCCTCGTTCCCATTGTTAAACTTGATAATGGACCATACTCAAAGTACGGACTAAGGACTAAGGACTAAGGACTAAGGACTAAGGACTAAGGACCCCTATGACAAGGCAAAATAATCTATGAAACACCGTGTACCGTTAATTAGAGCACATGTGCTTTTAAGAAGACAAAAACATTAAGTACTTACAATTTATGGGATGATGTGTTTCAACACATTAAACTGCCCGTAGACATTGTGTTTAAGGGGCCGTACGCCCAAGTAGTCGTCACTTTAAATTCATGTTCCGGCGTTTCGATTCAAAAATTATATATGTGCGTGTCCGATCATTACAACGGCTCGCTCCAAAAAGAACTAGGCCTCCCTTGGGCTACACGCCACCGTCGATCCGTGGTAGGATTTCGAACTAACACGAAAGGTCAATTGCATGCAATTAGCTAGCTCGATTCGTCAATATACGTTTCTAGTTACTTCGGACTAATGACGTTAGATGGCGCTCTGAAGTCTGTTCATCGCATGTAATAACGTAAATATGCTAAAATAATGTACACGAAAATTTTCGTGTTACAATTTAACACTATTTGATGACCTATTTGATGAGTGTCATTATATAGCTTGACCAAATCAATGAATAGAAATTTTTTGAAGTTATTAGTAACTAAACACAACGTTGCTATTTCATAATATGGTCATATGACGATATCATTATCGTTTTTCACCGCTAGCGGCGCTGATACGAGTAGCTAATTTTTAACAGAAACAGAACTTTTAAGAGAATTGACATAATTTTATCCCTTATTGATATGATAAATAAATGTTCGTTTCTATTGCTGATATTACTAGATGGTATAGTTTTGGCTTTCATTATATCATGTAATAATAGCGCCACCTACTTACTTCTAAATAAATTAAAATGGCAAGACATTGATAAAATTAAATAATACAATGCTACTGAATATACGATGTAAATAATTGAATCGTTTACATTACGTTCATCCCGCGTTGGAATCAGTGCAGCGAACTCTTTTTTGGCCAAAAACTCTACAGCCTGTGCTCAGTAGTAGCATGTATGTAAGCTGCTTTTTTACTTTTCATGGGGCAATATATGCAGTTTTTATTTCATTCATGTTTTCGGGTATGATAATTTATGTTTTCACTCTACCGTAAATATTAAGGCTTGCAAAGATGAGTAGAACTCAGTATCGTCAGCCTATCAAAAGGCCACTGAAATGAACATAGGCCTCCCCCATAAATTGTCAAGTAGCTGGATATTTGCTATAGTGGCGGGTTGGCAACCGCAGCTATTATTATTTTGATCTGTTGTTAAGAAGATGATGCAGATCATACCATCTACTATTTTTTCCTATGTCGCCTCTTATGACGGGACGATATGATGTGTTGGATTTTCTTTCACCGCCACAACAGTCCGAACTTTTTCTATTCCCGTTCATGAGTATAGTGTTCCTCACGTTCACTGTGTATAAAATTTATAAGGAATAAAAGTAATTTTAAGGATTTTATCGCGTTTAATTTTAACTTTTTAAATTCCCGATGGTTTGGACAATTTACAGCACCCATGGTCACGGGAGGGCTGGCAGAACTGAGGTGTTTGACGATCTGATGTCATAGTTAAAATAGAATAGTTAAAATGCAGTAGTAGTTTGAATTTAATTTTATTAATCATGGATTCCTCAGCAGATAGTAGCACTCAGCCATCTTCCCTATTAAAATTAGGATATTTTTAATTTCAATAGCCTCGCGAATCATCATTGGTAGGATTCGGTGTTCTATTGCAAGGATTTGTTGTATATAATGGTTGGGACGATACTAAACATGTTTACATACTTTATACTTCCCGGAACTTCGGTGCTTTCATTCGGTGAGGAGTCAAGATGCGTAAAAACCCGTAACATTAGTTTTAATCCATGTGTGGTATTCATTATTATAGAACTGTATTTATGAAATTTTCAAGTCTACTCGAAGTAAATAAATATATCTATATCTTTTTATGGTGCCAATCAATATTAAATAGGACCAACGATATGAATAAAATGTCTCCAATAAACATTATATTACTTTGTTAAAACTAAATTTACTTTAACTATGAATATATATATATATATATATGTAAAGATTAAAATGTAAATAATAATAATACATTTTGATTTCAAGACTATTTATCTTTCTTATGGATACATCGGATTCGGAAGACACGCCATATATAAAAAATAGTAGGAGTTTCTAGACATATTATAAGTATATTCACGTGTTTCTGTAGCATGTTACCAATCATCTACGTCTAATAGTATTTTAGAATGAAAACAAATCTCTGACAGACATAGAGACATAGACACCAAGATGATTCTAAAAGTGATCGAATATTTCTAAATTTGACACGGAACAGCATTTAATGATGTCCCTAAATTCAAGCGCACGCGAGCGAAGCCGCGGGTAAAAAGCTAGTACTAAATAAAACGGCAGTATAATGTACTATAATGTATTTCGTTTGGTAAATTACTAAAACCGGAGAACTATTTTCCTGATAGGGAGACATTGCATCTTAGTCCTCAGGGGTAACAAACAATAAACTATATTACTAAAAACGTTTTCCAATTTATAATTTTCAGAGTATCTTTTAATATTAACTTAATACTTTTAAATAACCTTTTTTGCAGTAAGGATGCAGCATTAGATAATCCAGAAAAAGGCCAGAAATACTTCACAGCCTCTATTATATGATGGTAGAACCATGTCTTAGATACATGTAAAATCTCCAGACCAGCGACGGGTAACAGCGTCAAGGAATTGGGCGAGACATCTGGCATTATGATAGCCAGTTCACCCGCAATGAAGGAGGCCCTTATCTAACTCTTTTCTGCCGACGTCCAAAAAGGAGACGGTACTCAATTCGAGTGTATTAATTTTGCTTCTTTTTTTATGTGTGTTACCTCATAACTTTTTACTAAGTAAACCGATTTCGATGATTCTTTTTTTTATATGAAAGCTGAAATATCTCGTGTGGTTCCATATAAATTTGATCGAGGTCAGACCAATAGTTTTTGAGTAATTCTTAATAGCTTATATTGAGGTCGGCTGTAAAAAAAAATTATTTTAAATTATTATACTTACAAAATTGACGTCCACCATTCGCTTGTATAAAGTCTCTTCGTTATTAAGTATAGCGGCGTTGTTTATTACTACATCAAGCCTGTGGAACTTATTTAATACTTTTTTGAAGGCAAAATTAAGCTGTGTTTCGTTTGCAACATCACATTTTATAAACATAACTTTAAGAGTGCCAAATACATTCATAAGTTCCCTTTCCAGCACCTCCCCTTCACGTTGGGCAACATCAAGGTATGCAACATGCTGTAACAGAAATGTATAACTAAGGAAGTAATAATTGAAAAAAAGTGTTTAAATACTATATCATAACTAGCGATCCGCTCCGGCTTCGTACTGGTGATTTCTTTACCTTGATGACAATGCCACCTACCGCATTCAATTTTAAATCTAAAATATCCAGAGACCCACTTAAACACAAAAATGTCATCAAAATCGTTCCAGCCGTTTGGAGAAGTACAGTGACAAACACACGTACAAAAGAATTATAAACATATATTATATTTACTTTATAAAGGTAATAATTATTATGAAATATCAATAGATAATATATAATGATATATGATATATTATTAGATATAATAATTAGAATTATTATTTGCAACTTTGTTATTAGTATGTAGGTACAATTTACCCTGGCATTTTGCGAAAGTATAGCACGGACCAATCCGGAACCGATTCCAGCTGCGCCACCAGTAACTATAACTACTTTGTCATCAAAACAAAATGGTTGACCCATGTTCACATTTAAACATTAATTTTTGTATAGTTGTTACTATAATGTGCTAATTTTTATTACACAATTTTGTTGTTTCTTCTACATTACAAGAATTTAAAGTTACTTATAATATATCTTAACACATAGACAGGCAACGTTAAACTAAAATAAACATGAGCAACTTATTGATCAATAATCGATATTACATAAGCAATCGGTTATGCGAGTTATCTATAGGATAAGAGAGAATTCGTCAACAATTCATTTAAATTTGTGACTATTTAAGATAAGACACTAGAGTATTTTTGAATTAAAAGCGGTGAGAACATTTAGTGATATGTTTTACCTAGATTTTACGGGTTTTATTTTTTTGGTATAAATTAGGAGTCCTTTTCTCCCTTGTAACGTTATCTATCCTTCGTCGTTAAAGCTCATTAGCCTTTCACGAAATACAGACAGTAAAGTTTTCACATTTTAACGTAGCCAAAATTGTGTTAAATAGCAGATTTAATTAAATATTATTATCATCATCATCATCATTACACCCCTTCACAAGTCCACTTCTGAACATAGGCCTCCCCCAAAGAATGCCACAAAGCACGGTCCTGAGCCACCTGCATCCATCGACTTCCTGCATATCTTACCAGGTCGTCACTTTTCACTTAAGAAGCCATTTTGTGGAAATTATTTTATTAAGTATATGTAGTTACATTTTATTATAAATAAATAAAAATAATTTTGAGTTAGTTGTGTTGTATTTTAAGAGAAATAAAAAAATTTGAGTATATTTTGAGAACCTGCTCCTTTTTTATTTATTTCTATGACATTCACGTCTGATCGCCAAATACCTACCTCAGTGAACGCGTAACGATTAGTGCTGCAAAGCACTCGAAACGGGAGTATAATCATTATTTTTCAAATTCATAAAAAAAAAAACATTCAATATAGATTGTCAACTTATTAAATGAGCGATTAAATAAAGTGCTCATAGATTTGTGATTTATTCACTCATCCTTCTTTTTCTATTATTTAAGTAATTTATGAATTTTTATACCAAATATTTACAAACCTTAACAAAAAAGTTCTAGTGACAGCCCTTTCCCATTTCGAAGGCTTTTGATTTTGTCGGGCATGACTTGTTAATTTTAAAATTAAATAAATACGGTATAAGAAGCAAGACAATTGATCTTATAAAATCCTACTTGATAACTTTCAAATCTAATGTAGTGACGGGGGCGATTCTGTACGTGTTCACAGACTGCAGACATCCCGGAGCGTCGATTATTCACATCAGTTATGTGTTATTTAATGCGAGTTTTTATTGATCTTTTAGTTTGTACTATATATAAAAAAAAGTTAATATACGCGATAAAATCCGTAAAACTAGTTTTATTTAAATGTGTAGTGTTCGCGTAAATATAAGAAATCATCATCGAATTATGTTACCATCTTTATCATGTCGCTAATTACGAGATCTAGATTAACTAGTCTTTTTTGGTCATCATTTCCATTGTTTTTCTCATTACATCATTCATCACAACCTATCAAAAGTCTGAACATAGGGATGTTTGTCATAGTGGCAACGCATGGCAGGCTGGTTGGCTACCACAGTTTTTTTTTATTAAATTGAGTTGTTATCAGGAAGATGCTGCTGCTCCTTTCCTGTTTCATTTCCCTCTATCACCTCTTACGACACCCACCAGATAATTACATCAGATTGTACAAATAAATTCATATTTTTCATCGGTATAGAATTTAAAATAAAGTTTTAGTTTTTATTAAGATTTATTTTTCATGTTCATTTCTGTACAGACAAGCATGGAATCGCTGGTTGTGCCCAGTTTCGAAATACTTGTGCACAATGGAAATCCCAAATAATTTAACAGCATAGAGATATGCACATAGAAAAAAATTTACTTATTTTTTTTCTAGACAAAGCAACCATTACTAAATAGTGAAAATTTGTTAATATACCCGTTTATTTTCAGTTTAAAAAAGATCACCTAGCTATACATTAGAGTTTCCCAATCTTTTTTTGATCAGGAACACTATGATGACGGCTCCGTTGCGCAGTGGCTTAGCAATGAGTTCAGCACTGTGGGCTGCGGGTTCGAATCCCGCACGGAACTAGTATTTGTATAGTATACAAATAATTGTTCCGGGTCTGGACGTTTGTCCTTGTGTAATTTATGTTTATAAACTGCCTCCACGATACAGGAGAAAGTCCTAGAGTGAGGGTAACGTTTTTTTTAAGAGAACCAAGATTTTTTTTTGTAGTTAGCAGGGACCACAAGGTTTGTCAACCTAACAATAAATTATAATCGCAACTATTTACATAATTATATAATAAACTAAAAATAAGTATTCATTAACAGTATTATTTGTGCTTTTATTGTGAAAACTAGTAGGTACTTAATAACGTGAGGCGCGGTGTCGCACTGTCTGCATGACGAGAAAATGATAAATGTGTTATTTAAAAGGATCACGAAAAGGACCACGGGCCACAGATTGGGAATCACTGCGCTATATCTATCCTCTATATATATTCTAACGGTATGTAACGAAACATGATGTTGTGCCTTACGAATTGTCGGAAAATAAGAACGTTAAAGTGGAAATCGAGAACATCAAATCTGCAGTAGTAGTAGAGACTTGGAAGGCTATTAAATAAAATATACGTAAAAGTCAATACATATAATTAAAAATAAATTATTATACTTATTAAAAAAACCAAATAGATATTATTATTGATTGATTTCACTTAAAATAAAGATATAAAATTATAGTAATCGCATTTACTAAGTACTTTATTAATTTTTGTTTACGCCAATACTGCGATAATATTAATTTACCAAATCAAACATAAAATATGTTTTTGTTTTGATGTGTGACGATACTTCTCTGGTCATGATCAAGCGTGTAAATTTCCATGCAGTTAAAGTGTTATTTATAATATCTCCTTAATTAAACTAGAATAAATCTGAAAAAATAAAACCTATAGAACACGAATCTGAAATAACAGTAAATACTCCATAAGAGCACATTGCTACTTTTTGCTTAATTGTTCTTTGTTGATGGTTGAAAGAAAAATTACTAACCGTCATATTGGATTGTTTGCAATAGCAGCTCCAAAAACAACTTCGTATTTGTATTTTTTTAAATAAAATGGAACAACTCTTTACTGCCATGACGCGTAGATAAATATCGGTTGTGTACTGTTAAAAACACGTTTACTAGCGAATTTTCTTAGTATTTCCCCGACAGTAAAAAGTTTATAGTAAAGTAAAGTTTTATATTATATTTCTTACTCCAATACAATTTCGTAACTAAAATACCGCACTCTTAGCACCACAATAAATGAAGTAAGTAGGAACTTGGGCTGCTGGTAAGTCCGCGGCCTAAGGTACTTAATGAAAGAAAATATATGGTTTTTATTTTTTATTTTTCAGTATAATCAAGTGAAATACATTTCTCACATCTAGCATACAATGTCTTTAACCCACCCAAAAATATTCTGTATCTTTCTCTTCAAAATAACGATCGATCGCAGCTTTCATTTTGTTGTTATCTGCAAATGTCCAGTCCCGTAAGTCCTTTTTCAAATTGGAAAACAGAAAAATATCGCTAGGTGCTAAGTCTGGGCTATACGGAGGGTGGTCAATCTCTCAAACCCCGTGTCTTTCAGGACTTGCCACGCAACATGTGCGGTGTGAACGGGCGTGTTGTCTTGCAGAAAGAGCACTCCGCGCGTCAGTTTACCACGTCGTTTCTATACAATAGCCTCGCGATCCTGAGTCAATAAATCGGCGTTATATTGGACATTCATCGTGGTTACCCTGGTAGTCGATAAACAAAATTCCCTCGCTATCTCAGAAAACAGTCGCCATTAGCTTGGACACTGACTTTTTCAGCTTGAATTTCTTCGGTGGCCTTTCTCCCTTTTCTATCCATTGCATGGACTCTTGTTTGGACTCCGGATCATATTGGCGAATTCATGTTTCATCTACGGTGACTATCCGTTGCGAAATATCTTCCTTGTTATCGCCGACTAGTTCCAAAAATCTTTGCAACTTGCGAGCCGACGTTGCTTTTGCAGCTAATTTTTCTCATATTCAAATGTTCATGTAAAATTTCTCCAACTCGTTTGCTAATCTGCAGTTCTTCAGCAATCTGATACAATTTAATTCTTCGGTCAGCCAGAACGTTTTTTTTTGACTTTTCGGACATTTTATTCTGTCAGTACCGTGAGGAGGCCCGGGCGAGGGTCGTCTTCACAGCTCACTCAACCTCGTTGAAATATGCGGAACAATTTTTTCACCATGGTATATGAAGGTGCAGAATCCTGAAGAACCGATGAAATCTTTTTAAAAATGTCTTTCGGTGTATTGCTATATATATTACCCTTCTTTTTATCACGGTGCGGTGTTCAAAATTCCGAGAATTTCCACATTCAGCTGACATGGTGATGTTTGTTGTTCATTAATTGAACTATGATCATCATCATCATCATTACAGCCTTTTACAAGTCCACTGCTGAACATAGGCCTCCCCCAAGGAATGCCACAAAGCACGGTCTTGAGTCTACCTGCATCCATCGACTTCCTGCATATCTTAAAAGGTCGTCACAGCATCTAGTGGGGGGAAGCCCTACACTTCATCCGCCGGTACGAGGCTGCAGCTCGAAAACGATTTTTCCCCATTGGTTGTCGGTTCTTCGAGCTATATTGCCGGCCCATTGCCACTTCAGCTTACTAATCCGTTGGGCTATGTCAGTCACTCTGGTTCTACTGCGGATATCCTCATTTCTAAGTTTATTACGCAGAGAAACTCCGAGCATAGCCATCTCCATAGCTCGCTGAGCGACTTTGAGCTTCCCCATCCGGCCACCAGTGAAGGACCACGTCTCAGTTCCATAGGTCATCACTGACAATACGCATTGGTTGTACAGTCTCGTTTTCAAATTTTGAGGTATACCTGACGAGAAGATACGCCGTAATTTCCCGAACGCTGCCCAACCGAGT